CCGCTACCCGGACAGCTTCGGCCACTACCGGGAGGCGGCCTTCGCCCAGACCAAGCACCACTGGTGGTGGAAGCTCCACTTCGTCTGGGAGCGGGTGCGGGCCTTGCGCGGCCACCGGGGCCCCATCCTCTTCCTGGAGGAGGACCACTACCTGGCCCCGGACGCCCTCCACGTCCTGCAGGGCCTCTGGGCGCTCCGGGACCGCGAGTGCCCGGACTGCCAGGTGCTCTCGCTGGGCACCTACGCCCCCGTCCGGGGCTCCCTGGCCGGCCGGGCCGACAAGGTGGAGCTCAAGACCTGGAAGTCCACCGAGCACAACATGGGCCTGGCCTTCGGCCGCGACACCTACCGCCAGCTGCTGGCCTGCACCGAGGCCTTCTGCACCTACGACGACTACAACTGGGACTGGACCCTCCAGCACCTGACGGTGGCCTGCCTGCCCCGCTTCTGGAAGGTGCTGGTGCCCGAGGTGCCCCGGGTCTTCCACACCGGCGACTGCGGCATGCACCACAAGCAGCGGGCCTGCCAGCCGGCCGCCCAGGCCGCCAAGGTGGACGCCCTGCTGGACGCCAACCGGCAGCACCTCTTCCCGGAGACGCTGACCGTCAGCAAGCGGTACCCGCTGGCCCCGCTCAGCCCCCACGTCAAGAACGGCGGCTGGGGAGACATCCGCGACCACGAACTGTGCAAAAGCTACCGCCGGTTGCAGTGAGGCCCGAGCCGGACAGGGAACGGGGCCTGGCCTGGCCGCAGCCGGGTGGCTTCTCCGCCTCGGACATGGAGGACCGCAAAGTGCCGGGCGGGCCTCTTCTCTCCGACGACCTGGGTGGCAGTGATCACAAAGGGTGTCCGTCCTCCAGCGGTCGGGTTCTTGAGCCAGAAAAGTTGCCCGCCCCGACACGGAAAAAGTGCCAGTCGTCTGTTGGGGCTTTTTATCGAGGCCTTTTTATAAGGTTTCCAGCACTTCCAGACCAGCCCAATCCCTTTATGTCAAGGGGGGGAAACGTAGTGAAGGCTCACAGCGTTCTTGCTGAAGTTCTCTCAACCTCCCCCCCTCCAGTGCCATTCGGTTTCCAAAGGCAAGCCTTGGGGGGAAAAGGCTTTATAACTCTCTTCCTCCTTTCCCTTAATCTTCAAATGAGAACCAGTATTCCATAACCTTGTATGAAATTTCCTATCTTACTCTCTGCAACAGCATTCTCTTTTGTTTGCTATGTGCTTACTATACCGGGGGAGGGGGCGGCAGGAATTGGACAGCTATTTTGTTTCACTTCAATGTAGAAATATGCAACTTTTTTTAGTTCTGCCAAAATAAAAATTCATGGGAGGTTTTTTTTTTTTTGTAATTAAAGTCTTTTAATGGGTTTGGAAGAATACATTTTAATCTTTAGCAACCGAAACGAAACGAAAAATGCTTCCAATAAAAAAAATGATGGCAAATTGCAATGAGACACAGTTTAGGTTCATTAACAATTCAGTCACCGTTTCACAAACCAAACGGGGGAAAACGGACGGCACCCATTTACCTCCTGTTTATTGAAACCATTCCGTCCGCAGATGAGGCAGCACAAGTTAATGAACAATTTTTAAACATAGGATTGTGCGAGGAAAAAGGACAGAGCCGGAGCAATAAAACCCCAAACCGTGTAAAGTAGTTGGTTCTGGAAGAAATCTCCTTCACAAGGCGCTGTGCCCCCCTTTGCGTTAGAGGCTCCGTGCCCTTGAAACACCTACCCTGCGGTGTAGAACACTCGGGAGTGAACCATGCGCACCGTGTTCTTCTAGAGCACAGCTGGCCAGAAGGTGCTCCAGCCTTAAGCTGAGGTTTTAAGCTCACCTAAAAAAAACCTTCCCAAGGGGACTGGAGCACTTTATTGATATTGGAAACAGAACTGTCTTCCCTGGGCCTCCCCTTCTTGGGCGACGTTTCTTGGATACCACTTGCCTAAGATTATAAGAGAGCAAAGACTGCCCGGAGCCTGTCCTGACCATTTCGGCCTCCAGGCTCTCAAATGTTGGGGGAACTGAAGAATGTAGACAGGTGCTTTAAAAAGCTATCTTAACTGGGAATGAGTTCGGCCAGTGGCGGAACTTTTATCTGAGGAAATGGACAGAATCCAACCGATCACGTAGGCGTTGGCTGGGGCAGTTGTGTTGACTGTTCCTCTGTTTCAAACGAGTGGGACTTTAAAGAGAGCTTCCTCTTGACTCCCCAGCAAGAGGAAGCTGCGTTGGGGGAGTCTGAGGCTTCTTGGTAAACAAGAATCGGCGTAATTATTATTAGATTCAAATAAAAATAAATTTTAAAAAATTCCTGTGAAGTGCAAGCATTCCCAAAGGTGCCCAAGGAGCTGGAGAGAAGCAGACGTTGCTTTGAAGTGGGCAAATTAGCACGGCTGGAAGTGCAGAAACGCAGGAGGCGCTGGGAAAGCAGCTCTTGCCTTAAAATGTAGCTCCGTTCTTGATGCTGTACCGTCCTTGGCATTCGTGGCATTATATAATTTAGGGCATTTGCATCAATGGGTTTGAAAATAGCTTTCGCTCTGAGAGCAGCCGTTACAAAGAGGATCAAGATAGCCATCTTTTCGTAGAAAATTCAGCTTGTTCCTCCTTGTTGTGGCTGACTTTGCAGAGTGCCTGGGTACTCTTTGAGTGTCAACTATTCGTTTTTAAGACGCCCCCACAGGTGTTCTATCCAGCTGTTTGTAGAGGCAGCACATGAGCAGGGCAGAGCCCACGGCTGGCACTTAAAGTCATGCTTGCTTTTAAGTTGGTTCCACTGACATCGACAGATCTTCATCTTGAGTAAATGCAGTTGACATTTGCATTTAGAAGTATAGCTAATGTAGGGGGTAAACAGATTTCATTTCAGGGAGACTGGTTTTCCCAGAAAGTCTGTTTCCTGCAAGTTGTTCTCAGGGATTTTTCCAGTCTCTTAGAGCAGCCAAACAGCAATCAACTTGGTGTAAATAAATGCGGAAAGGGCCAGTTCTGGCATGCAGGGAGAAGTCATAATTTTTCTCCTGTCCATCTGCTGGATATTACAGCAGTATGGGCAGGACTCCTCAAAGATCAAGCCCCGCCAGAGGGATGGGGACCGTGAAGCCCCACCTTGTATAGCCAGCAAGTGGAATCTGCCCTTTAGACCATTTCTGGAAGGTCACTTTTTCTGCGACGGAAACTCGTTCTGAAATGAATGATGACGGTGTAAGCCTCTCTGAAGTGTGACCTAAGGGGGTGGCCTCAGGTGTGAGGCCTTGGAGAGGGTTGTTTCATCAGAAGAGTAGCCTGCGGTTTGCTGTTCCATTGTGGAGAGCTGGAAGGATAAATGAATGTACCATAAAAATCACCCACATGAGCCTTGTAAACGTGACCAAATCTTAGGCAAGACCCTGGTTTGGACAATCAGGTGGAAGATTTCTTGCAGAATTAGGCTTCTGGGTTTATCCCAGAAGGAAAAACACCAGGTCTCAGCTGAATACATTGAAATCGATCAAGTTCATCTGAAATGTAGCTTGTGCAGACACTAGGTGACCCAGGGAGGTTGCATTTGGCACCAAAAATGGAAAAACAAAAAAAGGGATTGACCTGAATGAGCTGCCCCGTATCTTTCTCTGAAGCCCTCGGAATCGCCAAAACAAAACTTTTAAGCAAACGGAAGACTTGGAGCTGAGTTTTTTCCTCTTAAAAGGAAACCCAGAATCTGAACTTGAGGTCTTTATGGGCAATTAAGCCCGAAGCACTAAGCATTAGTCCAGTTCATACAACAAAGAATTCTGAAGAGTGACTGCAGAGCGCGTCGCATGGTGGCTAATATACTCTACGCTTCCGTCCTGCATGTTGGTTTCCTTTATCACAGGGGGAGCTGGACGGCTCGGCAACCTTTGCTTGCTTTGGGTGGACTCTGAGTGAACATCCTCTTCCTGGCTTATCTGAGCAGGCTCCTTCCAGTTCAACTGGGCTTGAGCGGAGGGCACGGTGTCTTTGCTGGTTGTTGAAGAATGTCCTGATTCATTCGCTTCACATGTCTGCAGTTTCTCAGGAACTGCCGAGCTGGGACCAATAGGGTCAAGCGCCAAACAATGGTCTGGTCCCCTGCCAACGCTCCCCATTGTTTCCCTCGCTCCACGACGTGAGCCTCCGCTTCGCATGGGACCATTTTCTGCATCGGCTGAGAGTGTGCTGCCCTTTTCATGTGCTTCCCTCTCCTCTCTTCGGGGTTCTGCTTGGTCAGGTGGGAAGCTGTTGTGATCCCGGGCCTGCAAAGAGAAAGAGGAGGGAGCAGAAAGAATTGTGACTGTCCTCGACTCAGGTGGAGGACCTGCTTCTGAAAGTGACCTCAGCTGTGGAACAGGAACCACCTGGGTCTCTCTGACTCCATGCAGTGCCAGTTGGCTTCCTGTAAACACAGCTGGAGTCTTTCGCAAGCCTGATAGCAGAACCTGGCTGACAACGACGAGGCAAGGCTGCATGGCACCCGGTGGCTGCTTGCTCCCTTAGCAGAGAAAGGAATCAGGGTTCAGTCAGGTCAAAGAGCCTGTGGCCACCCAGTGCCCAGGGGCCACCGAGAACTCGTGTATGTCTGCAGGGAGGAACTGTGGCTCCCCCACCCCTGCCATGGCTGAGCCTCTAGAGTTTCATCCTGCATGTTCTGCATTCGTTGGTTCAGGTTTGGTAACTATTTAAATGTCAGGGCCTTCCGTTTTGAGTTTCAGCACCTTGCTATAGAGCCCCAGAGGGCAGGGGAAAGGAAGCATAGACAGATTTCCTCTTAAACCTTCAGAGTCCAACCTTCTGTCCTTGCTAAAACCTACACTCGCCCTCCCAGGTAAACCCCACCAGCCACCAGCCGATCCTCCTTGTATGAGATCTCTTTACCATCTTTCCTTTAACTTAGATCAACCTTCAGCTGGACTGCTGGTCCTCTGCTGCTACTAGGATAAGGCATCGCCTTCCTCCCCAGCCATTCTGTCCCCAAGTGGGTATCCTGACCCCCACCCACGGCTACGTCTGCCTGAAGGCTGGGGTGGCTCCTTGCCCCCTCCCCGCCACCCAGCACCTGACTGTCTTCCTAGTGCGATCCTTGTACACAAGCCAGCCAAAGGTCGGGCCCACTTGAAAGACTTCAGAGTTGCCTGTCTTTTCGTTGCCAAGCCATGCCTTTGGGGCACAATGTCTGGTACTGGATTTTACGAAGTCCTGGTAGAGTTACCAGGAAGTCAGTGTTATTATGTGGTTGCTTTTAGCCTCGTGCTGCCAAAGATACCAATCTGCTCTCTGCCACGGTGCCAGCTGGCACAGAGGTCAAGTTAAATTTGCTCCTCTCGCTGCCTCCCTTTGCTGCCGGGCAGAACTCCGTGGGCCTCTGTGTGTTTGGACTCCTGCAGAAGCCTCTGTCCGGTCAGGGACCGGCGAGAGAACAGAGCAGCCCTGCTCAAAGGCCGTGGGGCCAGTGGACCACCCACAGTGGGAGTCCTGAGCCACCACAAAGGGCTGCAGGTGAAGAGCCACCAAAGGGGGCCTTCGGAGTAGCAACGGAAGCAAGCCGGCTCTCGCAGTCCCTCACTCAGCTCCAAGAGGGGACGCTGCCTGACCCAGAGTGTGTCTCCTCACCCTGGCTGGGGGCAGCAACTGCACCACCACTTCCCGGGGAGCAAGCCCCACGGAGAGCCACGGTCTTGGGGGACCCGTAGAATTCTGGCCGCTTGTGAGCACTTAAAACAGAAACTGAGTGACAACAACACGCCACACCACAGGTAGGAGCTGTGCCCTCGGGGAGTGGGTCCACCAGTGATGGTGTTTTCCCGGCCTTGAGCTTCCCCTCCCTTCATGCCACCGTGCAACTCTGGCGCTCTGCTCTGCTCCCCTCCTCCTGCCAAGGAGCAAAATCCAAAGTGGGCCCCCTGGGCTTTGACCTCCCGATCCAAGGTCAGACCTGGCTGGAAAGGAGCTGATCCCTGCCAACAGCTCACCCCATTCGGTCCTCTCCTCCTTTACCTATCAGGTTTGTGTACTTCACCGAGGGACTTCCATGTGGGTGGAAAGGGTTGAGGAACGGAGGGGTCCCAGGAATGCTCTGGTCTCTTGTTTTGGGTTTCTGCTCCTAATATCATTAGGCATGTTTCTAGGTTCGCTCAGAGGGCTTAAAAATCACAGAAAAGACAGGTGGAGGCCACTGTCTGGGTCTTTAGCATTTCCCAATCAGTGGAACAGTGACTTGCTTCAGGCAGGGTGCAAGGACACCAGGACAAAGGTGATCCTCCATAACCTTTCCTACCATGCTGGGCCTATATTGACTCCTCTGTAGTTTTGAACTCAAGGACCAGAATCCGGTTTAACAGCCGCTCAGCTTGTGTCCACATACTTCCTCTCCATTGTGAAAGCAGGGATCACAAAGCGGGGGGGAGGGTGTGCACGCGCTGCGGGGCTTCCACGTGCAGAAGAGGGCACGGGATGCCTCCTGACACATATTTCTCAAAGGTCCCACTGCTCACAGAACAGATTGCTGCCTGGCAAAGGGAGAGAAGAGGGCTCTACCCCCACGGCCCTTGTCTGGAACTCCCTGGAAAACCCGGCTCTGGGCCAACAGCAGATTTCCACCTGCATGGTGGTAATCTGCTCTAGGGCAAGAGGCAGGGGAGAGAAAGCAAGCACCTCACTAACAGAGCAATAAAAAAGTAGGAGAGGTGACAGTGAGGGGCCATCTTCTCCGTCTGGAGGGGAACAAACCAAATGTACAGTTACAAGATGTCTGGAGGGGAAAAAACCAAATGCACAGTTATAAGATGGAGGATACTCAGCTGAGGAATACTACAACTCAGAAAGATATTGGAACGGTTGTACATCACAAACGGAACATGAGCCCACAGTGTGATGGGGCTGCAAAAAGGGATAATGCTAGTTCAGGATGCATTAACAGAAGCAGAGTCTCCAAATCCCGTGAAGTACTAGTTCCCATCTGTTCAGCAAGGGTTAGACCTTATCTAGAGCCCTGTGCCCAGTTCAGGACGCTGCACTTCAGGAAGGAGGCTGACAGATTGGAGCAAGTTCAGGGGAGAGCAGCAAGGATGATCCAGGGAACTGGAAATCAAGTCCTAGGAGGAAAGACTGAAGGAACTGGGCAGATTTAGCCTTGAGAAAAGATGATGGAGGAGAGACAGGATAGCACTTTCCAGATACTTTAAAGGTAGTCCTACAGAGGAGGGGCAGGATTTGTTCTCAGTCGTCCCAGAGTACAGGACACGTAATAAGGGGCTCAAGCTCCAGGAAGCCAGATGTAGGCTGGCGCCCCTACATCAAGGAGACCAATCATGCAAGAACACCCCCCCCACACGAACCGCAGGCAACAGGACAGGAGATGGGCGACACCGCTGCACTGTGGTTGAGTGATGATGATACAAATGTGTAAAACACGCCTTTACCTTTAATCTGATCTGACTTTTGCCTTCAGAGACATCCAGCACTTCAATCAACGGGCACTGCTCCATCTCAGGTTGGCCAGAGCTGGGTAGTCGTGGGAGGTGACCCAGAAATTTGGCCACATTGTTTTCGGTGACAAACCACCTCTCCTGAATCAACGAGACAACAAAGTGCAACTGTTTAAACCTTCCCATGAGGTATTGAAACACTAAAAGATTCTGAGACCCAGCAGGGTTGCTAGGATGGCTGCTTGTCTCCTTTCCTTGAAAAGCCATGTTCAGAATAGGGAGATCTGGAGGAAAAGGCTCCCGAGAATTCCCCCTCCCCAACTCCAATACACTCTGGAGATAAGCTGCCTTTCTGCTATTTCTGCACAACAGCAGAGACAACCAACAGGATCAGTAGCCGCCCCATCGCTCAGAAGGAAAAGGTAGGCATGACTGTGGGCCAGGCAGCTGCACACAAGTCCACCTACTGTAGGCATCCTTCAGTCTCGAAAGACTATGATAACGTGCTCTGTATGAAGGACTTGGAACAGCGTCTGGTGTGGCTGAGGAGGCCACTCTGAGAGTGACCATTCCTTCCACATTGAAGACAAGTACAATCTGTCCCCTGTCCAGCTCCCTGGTTTGGCTGCTTTCAGGACTGACTCTTGGCCTCGGCCTGCTGGACAAGGGTCTCTTCAAATTGGGAGAGGCCATGATGCAATGCCTGCCCCCAGGCTGAACGCTCAGATGTCAGAGTTTGCCATCTGTTGAGGTACATTCCTAAGGCCTTCAGATCCCGCTTGCAGATCTCCTTGTATCGCAGCTGTGGTCTCCCTCTGAGGCGATTTCCCTGCACTAATTCCCCATACAGGATATCATTCAAGTCCACCAAGCAGGATCAAATGATTGAAGGTATTTCTACCCTGCTTTCCCAAGCCAGCTTGAAGAAAATGCAAAAAATTGGACAGTCAAACAGAGGTAAAGGTACTATATCTCAGCAACTTTATGGGTAGAAAGCTTATTTGGTGGAAGAGCAGATCAGCCTGGGTTTCTGTTTCCCCTCCCACCCTCAACAGTACAAAAAGGACTGGACTTTTGAGCTACACTTGTTTTTTAATGCCTCTATTCCAGGTTCAGGGCATAGGTCTGCTTTTTTTTTTAAGAGTGTTTTTTTTTAAGAGTGGAAAAGTGAGCCCATGGAAGGTGGGTTGTGTTTTTTTTAAAGAGTGGAAAAGTGAGCCCATGGAAGGTGGCTGCCATTATTTCTGCAATTGTCCCTTCTCAAATGGTGTGGCATGGGGAAATCAAACAGCCGAAGCACCTGCATGCAGAAGGTAAAACTGAATCAGCGGAGGGGGAGGACCCTTCAAGCCACGGAATGCCTGACTGCCATCCGACGAGCAAGGCAGAGGAGCCTCTGGCAGGAAAACAAGTTGACAACCCTTGGGCCACCCCCCCACCCCCGCTGTAGCTCATGTTAAGTTTGGTTCTCAAATGTCAGGGTCAGGTTTTTCTGGAGTTGTCGCTCCAAGCTGTCCCTAATGAAAATTCCCTTCTCCAGACCCAGAGGGCAAGTTGGGCTGAGCTTAAAATGACACCCATTGTGGAACAGAAAGAAAAATAAAGCTGATTGACGCACACTGTCTATGCATCTTCAGGGCTGTTAATTTGAGTTGTTATGCTGCAAAAACTAAGCTGCTTTGGCTGGCATAAACGCAACTAGTCACAAGTCATAACAACCCATTTGTATGAAATATAATTATACACATGGGCGTCATAAAGCCAGCCGAGCTCTGGAACAGTGAGAATTCTTCTGTTCTGCACATCCACCGGTGTGGCATGGGAAAATCAAACAGCCGAAGCACTTGCATGCAGAAGGTAAAACCTGAATCGGGGGGGGGGACCTGCATGCAGAAGGTAAAACTGAATCAGCGGAGGGGGAGGACCCTTCAAGCCACGGAATGCCTGACTGCCATCCGACGAGCAAGGCAGAGGAGCCTCTGGCAGGAAAACAAGTTGACAACCCTTGGGCCACCCCCCCACCCCCGCTGTAGCTCATGTTAAGTTTGGTTCTCAAATGTCAGGGTCAGGTTTTTCTGGAGTTGTCGCTCCAAGCTGTAGCTAATGAAAATTCCCTTCTCCAGACCCAGAGGGCAAGTTGGGCTGAGCTTAAAATGACACCCATTGTGGAACAGAAAGAAAAATAAAGCTGATTGACGCACACTGTCTATGCATCTTCAGGGCTGTTAATTTGAGTTGTTATGCTGCAAAAACTAAGCTGCTTTGGCTGGCATAAACGCAACTAGTCACAAGTCATAACAACCCATTTGTATGAAATATAATTATACACACGGGCGTCATAAAGCCAGCCGAGCTCTGGAACAGTGAGAATTCTTCTGTTCTGCACATCCACCTAGGATGGGAGAAGGAAGCCTGCAGCAGAACATGCTGCTGGTTACAGCCTCAGACCTCGTTCAGAGCGCACGCACACCCCCATGGCTTGGGCTGAAAGGGGAAACAGGACATGGTGTGTGTGTGTGTGTGTGTGTGTGTGTGTGTATGGGGGTGATAGGACATGGTGTGTGTGTGGGGGGGGGTGAGTTTCCCAGTATCCTCCCTCTCCTCCCCAAAGCAGGAGGCTGCGAGGTTTGGCAGCACATGCCCTGGGGAAGGGAATCGGGGCCACCCCGTTGCCTTCACGGAACACCAAAAGGAGACAAGAAAGAACTCTGCTGTATCAGCCGATGGTCCAAGACGGAGGGGGTTCCCAGAGGGGCCCATCCGTTGCCTCTGGGAAGCCCACAAGCAGGACATGAAGACACACAACAGTTGTTTGCACCGCTTGTTCCAAACCAAGGATAAACACACAGGCCTCTGAAACAGAAGGGGATGAATCGCCACCCAGGCCAGCGAGTTGCTACAGATGGCCATCCCCTCCATAAATCTATCTACTCCTCCTTTTCCCACCATCCCAAACTGGCAGGCACCACTAAAGTATCGGGGCAGCCACTTCCACAGGCTGTGTGGCTCAGGTGTGGTCCTTCTGGCGGAAAATGAAGAGCGGCTGATGGCTGCTGCCTTCCTTATCATCTCTCTCTATCTCTCTCTGCCCAGTAAAAACTGATTGCGGATCCTGCAGGGTTGCCTGGCCTCGGACTGCAGAGGTGAGGGAAATTTCTGCCCCCCCCCAAAAAAGAAGACGTTACCTACCTGTAACCATGGCTCTTCCAGTGGTCCCCTGTGAATGCACCCAATTGGGCTGTCCGGTGCAGGCGCAGAACCACCCAACTGTTTGCATTCACAGAGGCCACGAAGAAGAACCTGCCACTTGCCGACAGGCCAAAAGTTATGCACTATGGGCCTGGCAGGGAAAAAAGTGTGCCCCCAGCAGGAGAGAAACGCCTGTGAGCAACTCCTTCCCTCTCCCCTGGCTTCGTCAAACGCCTCTGCCACCACCCCCACCTTCCCTGCCTCTCCACCCTCCCTTGCCTCTAGCAGATAAGCCTGAAGGCAGCCTGTCTCGTTCACTTACTGTATGTACAGATCTTGCAAGCAGAGAATAATATTTATCATACGTTTGCGGCAAGCTGCTTTGGGAGGCCATTTCTCTCTGAAACGCAGGACGAATTAATAAATTGTTAGTGGAACCAAACTCCGGCGGAGCAGATGCGCCTTGAACTGTTCTCAGTGGAATTGAAAGCATACAATTCGTGCTGGAATTATTGGTGGTACTTTTTGTGTACCTCCAGCACCGAAAATTAATTTTCGCACTGACAGAGAGCCCAGGGAACTAAAGGCAAGCTGAGTAAGACCAGTCCATGAACTCTAGTGCCTGGCAAACAGTGGCACATGAGTCTCCAATCCCTACAAATGCATGTGGACTTGGGGGGGGGGCAGCGGCGAGCATTTTCCCTTTCTAAAACCAAAAAAAGCACCCAAGCAGTCAGCTCCAGCACGGCACAAAAATCGGTGGAAAGTAAAATTTTTCATAGTTTAATGGGATTAAGGCTGATGGATAGGACTTCATTCGCACTGTGTCATAATGCAGTACATACGTCTTTCCTTGCGCTTCTCTGTAAAACTGAGGTAATGTCACACCTAGATGCATGACTTTAATAAGTTCCTTGACCTCATAATTTATCTTAAAAGCACATTCAATCTTACTTCAACTAAAGCACTTGATGGAAAAATAAATCTATATAGGCTATATTTCAAGTATAGCTCACACTAAAAATGATCACTTATCAAATGGAAAATCAAACTGAATTATTTACACAGGTAATTAAGCGGCACAACTTGTCGACACAGTAAGGGCGTGGGATGGGCCCGGTGGAGGAAGGGGATCAGCAGGACGGCAGGGGAAATGAGTTAGTTCTGCAGGGATATCTTACATGTGAAAGCACTTCTCTATTAATGAGAAATATCTCCGTATCCAAGCTCACATGTTTATAGCCTACAGGCCTACAAAGAAAGAACCAATCAATACAACCGAGACCAAAATTTCTAAAAGCCCCAATTTGAAGCGAAAACCACACAGATTTATTGCCTGGCTGCAGTGCTGAACACCAGAGGAATCTAAAATACCATTTCAAAGGAGCTGCCGTCATGCCGGCTCTCTGGAACGAGTGATTGACTGAACACTAGCTTTGAAGTTTGGGCTCAAGAACTCTTCTCGTCCCAGATGGGACAACCGAAAAGAGTTGCCAAAGCCCAAGGGCAAGGGCTCCGAACGATCTCCAAGCTGTGGGAGCGACAGTGTCAAGAGCTCCACCTTGATAAGTTTAGACAAAGTTGCTCAGAGGAAGCCAAGATGGGGTTGGGGGGGGGGAGAGAAGAAGTGCATAATGGCCACACCAGCCGCCCAGGTAGCCCAAGTGGTGAAGCTTTGAAAAGACTGTATTCGCAAAGGCTTTCATGGCCGGCCGGAATCTAATGGTTGTTGTGGGCTTTTCAGGCTCTTTGGCCGTGTTCTGAAGGCTGTTCTTCGTAACCTTTCGCCAGTCTCTGTGACCAGCATCTTCAGAGGATTGGAGTCGGAACTCTGTGCTCTGGTGCAGTTTGTTTGGGAGTTGAGTACAGTGCTGCCTCGCTTAACGGGCGCCCCGTTTAACAACAACCCGCATAGCGATGACTTTTTTGCGATTGCTTTTGCGATCGCATTG